TTTCTTGCCGTTAAAGAAATAGTGATTACAATTAGTGAACGGCGAGCAGCAAGCACACAAACCTAGCAACAAGAAGATGACGACCGATGAAGTTATCATATTGAGATTGTTGTTTGTGGGCATTCAGAATTATGGTTTGTAAGTAGAGTAGAAAAGAATAGGTTGTTGATAATTTGTAGAGGATATAGTATAGAGTCGAAGAAATCACATTTTATCAATAATACAAAGGGTTTTGGTTTTAACTTCTCATACTTTTCAATAAAACCCAATTCCTCCGCCGATTATTATTCAATACCACCAATCTATGCAGGCTGCCACTAAAACCCAATTTCTTTATAGCCAAACTAAAACCAGCTCAATCCATGGAAGACTATAAAAACCACAATCTTAATTAGCTACTTAAACGTTGAATTGCAATTTGCAACTGCTAATTCGGTAATTCCTCAATCCACTACTAGGCCGCCACTAGCATCCAAGTTCTCTTTAACCAAACTAAAATTAGCTCAAAATAGGGAAGATGACCAAAGCTAAGCGAGTGGCGAAAGGATTAGGGACTGGGACTAGGTCTCGAACATGCAAAGTTGAGCTTTGATTATCAAATCTCAAATTAAAACAAATAATATAAAGGTTCACTTATAACCTACTGCTGGCTATTAGTGGTTGAAGTGTTTAGTGATGTAAGGAAGGTCACGAGTTCTCAATCCCCTTCTTGTGCATCCTATACCAGTATACCTATATATTTTTGTGTGGGGTTGCCAATCCAAGGGGGTGCAGCCGACCTCCCTTGGTTGGCTGTGGCTCCGCCACTGGGAGCATGCAGAGGTTCTTGCGGCGGCAGAGGTGGATGATCGGACTGGTGGTGGAGCTTTGCGTCGGGTTCCCCGTCGACGCTCCGCAGGCCAAAAGCTTATGGGGCTTGCTATTTGCCGCCAAACAAATTGCTATTTGCCGCGAACTAAAAAAAAAAGAAGTATATATGTACATCTTTGGTTGAGAAATTTCACAATCTACAACATTTTCAAGTTTCAGAAAACGTATGGAATCAGAAAAAATCGACGCTCGCCGGAAAAGTCGCCGGAAAACCATCGGGAAAGCCCATCCTCGACGTAAACTGCGGACACGCATCCATGAATCATCACTAAGCAGGTGCGTCAATTTTTTTTTAGTTTCGAACAATTTTTCCGACGATTTGCAACGAACAGAGTCTGGGCCGAAATTTTCCGGCGGTCGAAACCTGGCCGGGCCGAAAATTTTCGGTGGCCGGAACCTGGCCGGGCCGTCGGAAAACGGTGGCCGGAGCCTGGCCGAGCCGAAAAAAATTTTCGGCCCGGCCAAGCTCCGGCCACCGTTTTCTTTCGGCCCGGCCAGGTTCCGGCCACCGAAAATTTTCGGCCCGGCCAGGTTCCGGCCGCCGGAAGTTTTCGGCCCGGCCAGGTTCCGGCCGCCGGAAATTTTCGGCCCACCCTATTCGTTGCAAATCGTCGGAAAAAATTGATTTTAGGAGTTGAATTTAGCGTTTAGGAGTTGAATTTAGCGTTTAGGAGTTGAATTTAGAGTTTAGGAGTTGAATTTAGCGGTTAAGAGTTGAAATTAGCGTTTAGGTTCACAAGAATATTGATGTGTTATATTGTAATTGTAGGAAAAATGTCAGAGTGGTTCCCGGCCGATCATGATTACACAGCAGAATTTGAGAATGGGATCCATTATGCAAGTGTGGATTTAGCTGAGTTAGCTGCAAAAGCAATCGCTCAAGAGTGTGGGTTCTTTATTGTTAGAGGAGCATGGAAACCGAATACTGCTGGACTACATCCTGTTACTGCCCTCTGTATGTATTGCGACAGAAGCAGTAGGATCGTTAAGTCTTATAAACCAGACCCTACGAAGGAGACGCGTGGGAATATTAGTTCGAAGGGTACTGGTTGCCAGTTTCAGATATGTATTAAGGAAGTATGGCAAAAGGATGGTCCAAACACATGGGTCCTAGTGGGAGTGACAAGTCGTGAAACCGGAGCTAATAGAGGGTTTCACAACCATGAAAAGGTGTTGTATCCAGAACATCACCGACACAACAAACAGTTTAGTGAGGCTGAAAAGGAGAGGTTAAGATTAATGAGGAAGGCGGGGGTGAGACCAAATCAGCAGAAGACGACACTCAATACTGAAGGGGGTGTGAGTCATGATATCAAACAGATATACAACATAAATTCCAAGAACAGATTGGATGAGATGGGTGAAATGGATGCGATACAGTTTGCGCTTCATGGAGCTGAACAACGTGGGTACCATATCTGTTTGCAAAAGGACTCTAATAATGTGCTCACTAATATGTTTTTTGCGCACCCGACGTCCATTCAGATGTTGCATGCATGGCCATACGTCATCATCATTGACTCGACCTACAAGACGAATAGGTATGGCTGGCCATGGGTTGAGATTATTGGGGTTACTCCAGTCAAGAAGAATTTCAACATTGCATGTGCAATTATTAAGCAGGAAACAAAGGAAACATATGAGTGGGTGCTGCGATGTATTAAAGGGTTGCTCGGTGATACGGTTCCGAATGTCATCGTGACAGACAAAGAAGGTGGTCTGCTTGCTTCTATGCCCCTGGTCTTCCCTCTCCCACATACTGTCCACCTACTATGTTTATGGCACGTCAACAACTGTGTGAAGCAAAAGTTTGAGCAATTACTGGGTGGAATTTCAAGAAGAGAGGTAGCAGAAGCGGTATGGAAGAAATATTTCGACAAAGCTGCATGGAGTTGGACTCAGGAGGGTTTTCTTCAAAAGATTAATCAGTTTGAGAGGGTCTGGACACAGAAGAACATAAAAATGGTTGACTACGTGCGAGGTGAGTGGTTGCCTTGTCAGACAATGTGGGCAAAGTGCTACACGAACCATGTGTTTCATCTTGGTAACACGAGCTCGAATAGAGTTGAGTCATCTCACTCTTCATTCAAGAGTTTCCTTGTGTCTGGTAGAGGAGCGATTGACACTTGTTTTGCGAAGAACCACAACTACATGGAACATCAGTTTCTAGAAGTGGTGAATGAGCTGCACAAGTCACTTAACCGCAATCTGAGTAGGGCAATTGAGCCTCCGTGCACGTTTTTGAGGAGGGTCGTTAGTTGTGAGGCGATCAAACTGATGTTAGATGGGGCGGCGGAGTTGAAGGACCGTTGTGCGTGTCATTTTCAGATGACACATGGGCTCAAGTGTGCTTGCCAGGTTGTTCAAGCTAAGGAAGAAGGACGTCAATTCTATGATCAAGAGTTGCATGTATTTTGGCAGACTTTGGATTATAAAAACCCCCCACATCAACAACAAGTCAATGATGAAATTGAGCTTCAACGAGAACACTTTAGGCGTCTTACTGTTGAGGTGGAAGAAAGAGGTCCTGAAGCAGTGAGACAAGCAAGAGATGCCCTATTCTATGGGCTTCACCCAGCAGAGGACAATGTGAGGGAACCGGAAGTGAATGAGAATCCGAGAGGACGGCCTCGAACAAGCACCAGTCGCATTCGTTCATATTATGAGCGGTCTCGTTCGAGGAGTACTGGGCCTGGTTCGAGTGGAGGCAGATCCCGATCGAGTGGAGGCAGATCCCGATCGAGTGGAGGTGAATCCGACGAGCATGATACAGGTGAGTAATTGGTTAAATATTGTAGTCCATCTAGTAGTAATTGGTTTATGTTTGTAAATTTTGTCCAAGTAATTTTGACTGTTTGGTATATTTTTGTAGATTACTCATCCCAGAGCCCCCCAGGGCAATATTCTTACCCTTACATCGATGAGCTTTTTCCAGAGTTTGTTCGACCTTTGTTGGAAGGCGATTTCAACCCTAGTCCAGACGGCCATTGTGGTTTTAGGGCACTTTCTCATTGTATTTATGGGGATGATAGTCACTATCTGCTCATGAGATCGACGATTGTCCAAGAAATCCAACAACATTTCTGGAAGTACGAGAACTTGTATAATGGTGGTCCACTAGCTCACATTGACCGCATCAATTGGCTCGAGGCGGGTTCCGCACCAATGGGGCGATGGATGGATTCTGAGGACTTGTTCGTGTTTGCCACCATCTACAACATCGCAGTCATGGTCTTCTCATACCAGGTGTTTGATGTCAATAATGCAAACCGTCCACTACCCAACCGCTTCGTTGATGCCTATACTCTATTGCCTATTGATGCGGGCCCAGGTACTTTGCCACCAACCATGTTCTTATCACTGCACTATGTGAACAACCACTACATTCGATTGTACTTCAACCAGGATCAGTTTCCCATACCCCCTTTGCATCCACTTTGGCATGGGCTAGCAAGTCCTAATGTGGCGGGATGGGAAGCTATTCTCGAGGTTGGACAAAATTTGTTTGCGAGTCTTGGTGGTCGGCAGCGAGCCAGGCAGAGAGACCCTCGAAGAGGTAGGGGAAGGGGTAGGGGTAGGAGCAATGCATAGTGTTGCGATGCTCTATTTATATGTTGTTGTTTTTCTAGTTGTATTTTAAATGGCTCTAGTGTCATTATGAACTTATGGATTTCATTATGGATTTCATTATCTACCCTCGATGTTTTAATCATGAGTGTGCAAACATCCGATCCAAACATAAGTATTCAAACATCCGATCTAAACATAAACATGGAAACATGAAGTTTAAACATAAACATCTGATGCAAACATACATAAGTAGTCAAACATCCGATCTAAACATAAATATGCAAACATAAACATCCGATCTAAACATCAAAACAACTAAAAATCAGGGAGGGGGGAGTCCCTGGGAGGCCCAGTACTCAGTCCACACATCCTGCACTCCGTGCAGTGCCCTGTAGGCTCGTCGAGAATGCTCAAGAAACTCCTCCTCGGTCCCTGCTGCTGCTCGAACTGCAGGTGCAAACGTGTACAAAAGGTCTCAAGCACGCTGCACAAACAAAAAAAAAAAAAAACAATAACAATTGTTAGTTTCACACTAAGTATATTTATAATAGAGTAACGGTCTAGTGGTCAAATCTTACCGCTGCGGAGTCAACTAGTCGATCTGCATCTCCATCATCCTGTAGGACTCTACAATGAGAGTGCGCCACGAACCAGTCAAGATAGTCGACCATAGTCTCATATGGATACCTCCTCCAGGGCTGAGAGTACATGTCTATATGAACCATGTGGGATAGCAGAGCATCCCATGCAGCATCAAAACTCTCAGGAATCCGAATGACATATCCACCAGGTGCCTCTGGTTGGTCTGCTCGCTGAGGACGCGAAGGGGGAGGCGGTACCATCTGTCGGTATCCAAACTGTCGGAGGCAACGGGCTGGATCATAGAACTCGCCTATATCAGCGAACCGAATCACTCCAGTGTACAAAGAGCGACGCACTGCCTGATGAGGCCTCTGATGGAAAGGTGTCCAAGACACATCAGAAGGGGTCAAGCTGTCAAGAGCTCGACGGTAGAACGCCAACCTCACACTGGGATCAGCCACAGAACCGGTCGCCGGCTGCCCAATTTATCGTGAAGCCCAAGCCTCATCAGGTCCAACGACAGGTGGCTCAAAGTGAGATGGCCTGAAACCCGGAAAGTACTCGTAGATCCAACACTGCAGAAGTGTGAGACAACCAGCCACCCCCCTGGCACCAGCACGAGACGCCTGACCAAGGCATCTGTACAACCAAGCAAGTGTACCGGACGCCCAACTGTATTGATCTATCTCCTCCAACTCGTCCAAAAATAGGTTCACCACCGGCCGAACCCTGTCTCTACTCTTGTCCACAAACAAAGTGGACCCCAACATCAACAACAAGTATGACTGCGCCTCTGTCACATCTGTCCCGTTCACCTGCAAGTATCTGGACGCCACCTCCGCAAGAAAACCACCCTTCTCGTACCACTTACCCTTACTACCAAATCCAGGGGCCTCCGAACGACCACTCAACTGCTCCGAGTTCATCCCAAGAAGCGCACACAAACCCACCTCCGGATGGTCAAGCTGCGCAGAAGTCCTACTCATCAGTCGTCCCTCAACAGGAATCTGCAGTAAGTACTGAACATCGTGGAGGAGGATCGTCATCTCTCCAAAAGGCAAGTGGAAGGTGTTCGTGTCTGGCTGTCACCTCTCCACAAAAGCTGAGATCAAAGCCTCGTCAATCGCTATCCTGCGGAACATAGAGTAGATCAGGTGCTGGAGACCTGACCGCTGAACCAGATCCTCCGCCTCAACATGAGTAAACACGTAGCTCCCAAGATAATCAACCGCCCCTGTACGGGTGTAGCAACTGATGACCCCTCGATCTCCAAGCCCCGTCCAAAGTGCGTAGGAAGCGTGGCCACGGAAGCTCCTAATGAGGCTAGGATCCGTAGGTCCACCAGGACACTCACCAACAAGCTCCCACGGTGGAGGACCACTCGAACGTCCTCCCCTACTCCGTCCAGTCCCCGAGCTCTCTGTCTCCTCACGAGCAGGTGGTACGAATCGCCCAGCTCGTCCCTATACATAGCAGGACGTGATGTTGCCGTACGATCCTGCACTCGTCCATGTCCACGCGTAGGTGGAGGGACCTCCGCCTCCTCATCATTATCGTCCTCATCAAACTCAGCCGAGACCACTCTCGATGCAGCACCCTGGTTCCCCCCATGGGAGCCAGACGCCCCTAATGACGAACGAGCAACTACAGTAGGAGCCTGTGACTGATTTACAACCCTAAGTGATCTCTTCCTTCGTGTTGATGCATCAACAACCCTACCATCGAATCTATGCAACTCACTCCCACCCGCATCATCCATATCTTATCTACAAATTTACACAATATCATACTTAGATGCGCACTAATTAATTAAATTTCTATTAACTAATGTACTATTAACATTAATTGTTAATTAATCACAAATTAATTAATATCATACTTAGATGCGCACTAATTAATTAAATTTCTATTAACTAATATACTATTAATATTAATTGTTAATTAATCACTAATTAATCACTATCATACTTAGATGCGCACTAATTAATTAAATTTCTATTAACTAATGTACTATTAACATTAATTGTTAATTAATCACTAATTAATTAATTTACTATTAACTAATGTACTATTAACATTAATTGTTAAATCAATTCTTAATTAATTAATTTTCTATTAACTAATCTAAGTAATTATAAAGATTCATACGCCTATTAAAAAAAACATTTATACACCAACTTAAAAAAATATTAAGAATATTTTCTAATTAATTAACATATTAATTTAAATTAAATAAAAAACTCGCCGGGCCGAAAAAAAATTGCGGCCGGCGCGCCGCCGGGCCGAAAAATATATGCGGCCAGAGCGGCGCCGGGCCGAAAAACTCTTGCGGCCGGAACGCCGCCGGGCCGAAATAATTTTTCGGCCGGCGCGAGGCCCAGCCGAAAAATTCTTTCGGCCCGGCGACGTTCCGGCTGCAAATTTTTTTCGGCCGATCGCCGAAAGCGCCACCGAAAAATTGTTTGTACAGTTCATACGTTTGTAATGTTTGTATGTTTTGTCGCTCTAGTTTGTACTGTTCGTATGTTTGTATGGTTTGTACTGATTGTAAATCCGGTTTGTATACTTCGTAATTTTCCATAATACCCAAACTACCCCTGTCATTAATTAAATAGCCCTTTCCACTTTTTAACCATTAGATTGAAGTGTCCAGATCTAAGGGCTGGGAGGGGCTTAGTCAAGTGACTAAGCACCCCCCCTTAGTCACCAGATCCGCTCTCTTTTGGTTTCAAAGAGAAGAGATATGATTGTCGGAGATTGAATTAATCATTTGGCGAAGGATTTAAATAAAAATAGGTTCAACCAAACACAATATGTTTAACCTACTCTGGTTAAGTGATGGTTAATAATCAATGGTGCTCATTAAACACACTAAATCCAACGTCTGAAAAGCAGGCGGCACTAATGCCGTGCCTGCACCACAGAATCCGCCTTGAATCTGATGGCTATAGATAATCAAATTTAATGAAGAGTAGAGTAGTAATTTCATATTTTATTTATTTAACAATCAAAAAAATAATTATTGGCGGCTCCCACATTCCCGCCGGTCACGGTTCCTTCCGCCGGCCTGGGAAATATCATTGAGAGGTGGTCTGGGGAATTATTTCCCCAGCTTAATTGCGGGCAGAGGGAGGAAGAGAGAGAGAGTTTTTCGTCGTCTTTCAATTTTTCGACGACGGCGAGGATTTTTTCGGCGACGTCTGTTTTGTTATATTTGTTGGACGATTTTGTAATGTTTGTAACTAGGTTTTGTAATTTTGTATCAATTCAGTTTGTGTCATTTATAATTCTAGTTTGTCATTTTTATCTATTATATTTGTAATGTTTATATGACTAATTTGTATGCATTGTAATTTGTAATGTTTGTTTGTCTAGTATATATACTTTGTATTCATTGATTTGTAATACAAGTTTACTATTTTATATTTGAAAGTAATGGCATTTTGCACTGTTAGTATGTTTTGTAATGTTTGTTGGTCTAGTTTGTATAGTTCGTACGTTTCGTATTGTTTGTAATCTGTTTATATTTTTATCGCCCTAGTTTTTATTGTTCGTATGTTTGTATGGTTTGTACTGTTTGTAAGTCCGGTTTGTATAATTCATAATTTTCCATAATACCCAAACTACCCCTGTCATTAATTAAATAGCCCTTCTCATTTTTTAACCTTCAGATTGGTGTGTCCAAATCTAAGTGCTGGGAGGGGCTTAGTCAAGTGACTAAGCACCCCCTTAGTCATAGGATTCGGACCCCGATGATGATTGCCTGGCTGGATTGGCTCCATCCATTCCATTGATTCAATTTGCCAGCGACATTGGGTAAAAGCATCTCCAACAATGATATTAGGTTGCAATTTCATCAATGGTCCTTAGAGCATCTCCATCAATGCAATTGAAAAAGAAATTGCATTTATGTTTTTTATTGTCAACCCAAATTTCTTGCAATCCACATCACATTCATTTCATTCACCTACATCAATGCAATTAACTTGCAATTGCATATATAATTAAATATTATGTTTAAATTACAGAAAATTAAGTAAAAGAGAAAAGAAAATAATATAAAATACAAAATCCCCATTTTTTAAGGCTTTTTTGACTTGCATATGGAATTGCATTTGTTGCAAGCTTGCAAATATGCAATTGGTAGCCATATCAATGCAATTGGTTTTGCAATTGCAAACACCAATGCCATGTCATTTTGCAATTGAGAATGCAATACCAATGTGGATGCTTACAAACATCTACAACTTTAAGAAAATACCACCTCTTAATTTCATCTTACCTACATCAATGAAATTCAATTGCAATTGCAATGGGTGTGACCAACACATTAATTTAATATAACTAAACTACCCATCACCATTTCCATAATTTCTTAACCTTTAAAATATATGATAAACAATATTAAAAGGTCCACCCGCGGACCCCTTTGAATTGCAAAAGAATTGCACACCAAGCAAGTTTGCACACTTGCCATTGCACCTCACATCAATGCAATTGAGAGTCGCAATTGCAACCCCTTGCCACATAAGCTTCTAAGTCTATAAAACTGCACCATTAGAGATGCTCTTAACAACCATGTTAAATCACTTCCCTATAGCTAGTAGCTCTGCCATACTGAAACTGAAAAGGTTGTTTTTGGATTGTTTTGTGAGATTGTTACTATGTTATGCTTTTCAAAAATATTGTTTATATTTCTATTTTGGGCTAATACCACTAGGAAACCCGCACTATTAATTTTGTGCCCTTTGTGTCCTAAAGTATTCGATATGACAATTGTGTCCTAAACTATTTCTCCGTTAGAGTTGACCGGCGTTGACCGTTAGTTTTTAAGAGAAAATCCAGTAAGCGCTGATGTGGCATCTGAAGTGAAATTTATAATATTAATTTATAATTATTTTTCATATAAAAAAAAAGAAAATTACAAAAATAAAAATAAAAACCCATCTCCATCGTCTTTTCCGACCTCTCCCCTTCTCGTCCACCTTACACGACCTCTCCCTCTTCTCAAACCCTCATTTCCGCTGCACACAAGTCGGCTAGGGAGCGACAACGAGCCCACAACCGAGCTTCAAGGAAAGCCCGACGCTGGACAGTGGCAGTGAACCAAACCCTAAAATTTGGGGATTTTTTTGTATTCGACGGTGGACAATGGTGGTGAACCAATCCCTACCTGTGAGAGACACCTCTGCACTCTGCCGCCGACCATCAGTTGTCCAGCGTCGCGATTACGGAGCTGAACTTCCTGCATCGATTCTGTGCCTTCCTCGCCAACATCGATGGATTCCTGATCAGAACCCTCAACGACTACGACGGAGTCGAGTTAACGCCGTTGGGGATCGATTCGATCGAAGGAAACTGGAAATCAGAGATACAAAAACAGAAGGAAACACAAGCGCCTCTCTCTCTCTCTCTCTCTCTCTCTCTCGCTCTCTCTTTCTCT